TTTGTTTTGTTTTGTTGGGAAGATGTAAAAAGGAATAGTGAAATGTGCAGAAATTGAGCTTATTTGCTTGATCACCTTGAACATTCATGGTTTCCTATAATCCTACTTGTTAAATTAACAATTTTTCGTCGAAGTTTGAAGTTTTTTTATGTTAAGTTACTATTCCCTGCCTGTTTTTGTTTGCTAGATTGATTTTCTTTGCTAAACCGCTATAATGTAATCATGATACGTCAGACATTTGTTGTTTATTGTTAAGTCATTTGCATTCTGCTGCCTTACAGTTTTCATTGACAAGGTTCTTTTATTGCTCGTGCACAGGTGGTGAGAGTATATATGGCGGTGTTTTTCCTGATGAATTTCATTCTCGTCTAAGATTTAAGCACAGGGGTTTGGTTGCCTGTGCTGGTGCTAACACACCAAATTCGAATGGCAGCCAATTCTTTATGACCTTGGATCGTTGTGATTGGCTCGACAAGAAGCACACAATATTTGGAAAAGTAATTTTGTCCGTTACATCTTTTGTTTTGTTAGTATCCTATTAATTGTCCTCATGGTGTTTACAGTAAGACTAATTCTTGCTTATTTTTTGTTTTAATTTTCTCAATTTAACAGGTAACTGGAGATTCAATATTTAATCTCTTACAATTAGGTGAAGTGGAGACTGGTAAGGATGATAGACCAGTGGAACCGCTTCCAAGAATACTTTCCGTTGAGGTACCGGTTTACATGTTGTTGTGCAAGAAAATCGTGTTTGTTATATTTTTAAACATATAAACACTAGTGCTATTCTCATGGAGCCATTACTGATTTTAACCCGTAGGCTCAGTCATTTTGTTAAAGTTACTTTATTCGTGTTGCTTTACATCTCTTTTATTTTATTATTTTTTTGTTCAGGTGGTGTGGAATCCATTTGATGACATTGTCCCCAGGAAAATCGCTGCGAAGTCCTTACCGCCATCTGAGAAGAAAGAAACAAAGCAAAAGGTTACAAAGTAGGTTCCTTTTCCTATAATCATTTATATACCGAACAATTGATGCGCTCAGGATTACTTTTTTGTCATATTCTAATAGTAATAAGATAATTATTTGCTTTGATATGTTTCACAGGAAGTTGAACTTGCTTTCATTTGGAGAGGAAGCTGAAGAAGAGGAGAAGGAAATCGCAGCTGCCAATACCAGAATAAAAAGCAGTCATGATGTTTTGAATGATCCTCGCCTCCTCAAAGAAGGCCCTGAAAATGATTTGGTAAATGACGGGGAATAATTGGTAGATAGTTGTTACTTATCCACTTATCTTTGTGCTGATGATTAATACCCGGATACTGAAAAATGAGGATATTAGTGGTGAAAATTGAGTGTTAAATATTCTCCAATATAAATTGACTTAATTTGCTGAATACATTTGGGAAATAGGCATGTTCCCAACTATAACAATGAACATGGCATTGTTTGTTCTTGGTTATTAACATTCCTTATGTAGCAAAAATAGTTCTTGTATATTATTTATCTGCATGCTGCTTCTTGGATGTGTTTCATGGAGTCTCGTGTTTTTTGTGCCAAAATGTTGATATCCATCATAGAGATTCAAAGTGAACACCAAGATCTTTTATTTTTTTAATAAAAAGGAAAAACACTTGCAAAATTAGTTAATTTCAGCAGCCATATCTGATGCCTCTTGTGTTTTCAGAACCCTGCCGAACGTCAAAAAGCAAAGGATGCTCAGTTAATCGTGAGAGAAGCTCTCAGTTCAAAGAAAGATCAACAAAAGGAATTAGGGCCTGGATTTTCTGGATCCATTGATAGTGATGAAGATGAGTCCAGCTTTGATGCAAGAATGCGTCAGCAGATACTTAGAAGAAGGAAGGAGCTGGGGGACCTGCCAGCTAAGAAAGAATTGCATCAAGGTGAGATGGAAACTATTTCGGATATAACTAGTACATTTCAAAACCACCATTACTCGCGCATCTTTCCTCTTGGCCATGAACCTCCTTGTTTTATAGCAATAGTAATTAATCGTTGCTGTTTCAAGGTCAATCTATTATACGTAGAGTATCATAAAGCAAACTATGTTGACAGACTATTTGACGAAGTAGCTTCATAATTTCAGCTTAAGGGCACTTGAAAAATGTTAAAAGGGCCTTCCCTGTCATTTGCTTCATGTTTATTGTTTCTCTTCCTTATTAAATATCTTTTTACACCATTACCGCACGTGGTCCTTCTAATCATATGAATTCATCTTTTTTGCTTGTGTAGAACGTATGAGCTCACAGAACCAGTCAGCATCTCCTCCCAGGTATTATTACATTCACTTTATATACTAGACAATCGGTTATCACGTTTCATAAGAGACAATGTATATTTTGCATTCTTAGATTGATTTCAACAGAATTTGAATTTTATAATTAGACAGCATCAACGATATATTATTCCCCTTTCATCTAATTGCTTTAAGATTGCGGAAAGAGCTTAAACTTGTTTTCTTGATTTTGCACTCATAAGGTCACAGGCAGATGATCACGATGAAAAGCCAAAAAAGGATAAATTATCGATCAAGAAGAAAGGAATAGGATCCGAAGTAAGGGCTGAACGCATGGCCAATGCAGACACTGATTTGCAGTTGCTTGGGGAAGCTGAACGGACAAGACAGCTGCAAAAACAGAAGAAACGCAGGCGTCAAGGACATGAAGACGAGGTGCGCTTTAATACATATTTATTTTAACTTTCTTTTTGTGTATTTTCAAAATCTTGTTCGTCTTTCGAACTGTAAAAACTACAGTACCTTTCTGTGTAGTTTCTGGAGCAGGTTGTGGTATGGTATAGGCTGGAAAGTTATGTATTCCGACTTCTAAAAGTTACGATTTTAGTTATGTTTTATTGGTACGTGTTTCTGTGGTTGAAGGTACTAGCAAAACTCGAACGTTTTAAGTCGGCTTTCTCGACCAAATTCGAAGGATCGAATAATGGAAATGCTGGTGGCGAGAAGAAGGATGATCACAATAATAATGATGATGACGATGATGACGATGATGTTGATTTATCAGACTGGATGAAAGTTGAGCTAAAATTTGCTCGTGAGCCTGGGAAGGTACAGTCTTCTGGTTGGGAGTATAATTGTGTACTGCTTTTCTATACTAATTTTTATTTATTTATTTCCATATTTTCATTCTCAGCATTTCCATGTAGTTTTTATTGCATGTGATTTGCAGCTCATATTTTTTTTTTTTACATTTTTTGGTTAAGCCAAAATGAAATAAATTTTCTTTTTCCGTCTGGGTAAATTATTATGCAGGATAACATGTCACGAAGTGACGACCCAAATGACTATGTAGTACATGACCCACTCCTTGAAAAGGGAAAAGAGAAATTCAACCGAATGCAGGCCAAGGAAAAACGAAGGCAACGCGAATGGGCCGGGAAATCTATTTCTTGAACGATTTTCTCCTTCCTTAGGATACAACATTGAGTTTCGCTATAGCTTTTACAAGAAATCGGCCGTAATAGAAAACCTGCAACACAATCTAATGGATCCAATTTGATATCTTACTTAGTATGTGGATCAAGAATGAAAATCTTGTATTTTTGGCTTTTCCATTTCTTCTGTTTGAGTTTGAAGGTGCAGTCGAGCTTCTGAACGTCCCATGCATTTTTGTGTTGTATATGTACATATATATGTGCTATCCAGGTACACACTTTAAGATTTGTTCAATTTTTTTTTATTTTTCTTTTTTCTTTTAATTTTTTTTTTCTTTTTATGGGGGTATACTATACACCATACAGCCTGGAGATGTCGCATTAATAGAAAGTCATATTGTGCTTTTTCGAGGAATCTTGACATTTCACCAGTTTGTTAGACTTCCAGCATTTGTTTAATCAGTATGGTGTTGGATTTCCCCCTGCACACAATATCAGTTTAGTCACTCGGTTTTTCACCGTTCGAACAATGCGCACGGGCGAAAAATCGAGTGACTGTACTGTAGTGTGTGAGCGATGAATTTGCCGAACAAGGCATTGACAGAAAATGGTTCAACGGTAGAAATAGGCAGAAAATCACATGATTCTGTTTTGACCATGTGAATGGAACTGTTTGAATCTCTCTGGAAATGAGTTTGATGAACTAAAGAATAGCTGTTACCGCGTATTAGTGAGAGCAGGTCATACGAACAGATTTTTCCACTGGAAAAAACTCTCTTAATGAAAACATTTTTTTTTTAATGTTTTTATACCATTTAGACACAGATATTCCATCATTTTTTACACAAATGTACATAAAAATATGTTTCTGTTTGAAAAAAATGATGAAAGTCTAGCGTGTATGATTCTGAGATTTGGCCATGGGACATTGAAAATCAGGTAGTCAGGTGGACAAAAACTGTCATAGTACAGCAAAGTCGGTTGAGAAACATGTCCTCGTTCAAATCTATCTCATTTGTTTATAAGCTTTTTATTTCGTAATTAAAGTATAATTCAATTTTATTTCTAACAATATTATTATTCTTATTATAGTTAAACAATATCAATCAATTCTCATGGAAGAAAGAAAACAGGCTTTTACAAACTTGGCCTTGAAACGTGATTTTTCTCGTCTTTTATTGTTGCATTCCTCGTTATCTTATTTGTTCTTCTTTCTTAACTCATAGCTATAAAGAGTATAATTGACCACTGAGAGTTACATCGTTCTTTCCATTGATCAGGATAGTCTTTGAGTGCTCGAATTCATTCGGAAGTGATGATAACAACATAGAGTCAAATCTTCAGCGCTGAATGTGATGTCCAAGTTCAACAAATTTGCAACCAACTGGCTGAATGCAGTGTCATTCATAGATGTGTCATGCCGGTACTCAAATCAGAACAATCGCTTCTTCATGAGAAACTTATTCTGATCGCTTTTCTTTGGAAATTTATCCTCCAAATTTTTTCCTTAGAGTGTTACAGAGTTCTCATTCTTAAAGGCGTACTTCTGCTCCCTTGACAAACACGTACGGATTGTTTCACATGCTAAGCAATTGATATTCTTTTAGTCCTTCTCATCAACGTCGATTGGCTTCTCTTTTTCAATGTTAATGTCGACTCCTGGCTGAAATAGACAATCCAACACCTCACATTGCCACACGCCGAAATGATCAGTCCCATCGAATATCTCCTCCGGGAGTTTGACGTTCGGCATGACCGTCTTTGCTGAAACGAACGCGCCCTTGACCTCTTTGGACATCTTGAACTCGAATGCAGTGTTTGCCTCACCGAATGAGCCTAGGACGAATTTTTGGCTCTGATACCACTTGTTGGGGTAGAACAACAAGCTCAGCGGATAAAGATATCACTACAAGAAATATGACAAGCACTACTACTAACGAAAATAAGTCAACACAAATATATAAAGACGATAAAGAAATTGAACATGCAAAATTAATAGCGGAGTTTGGCCAATATTGCCTACGTTTCCGGGCACCCAACCGCAGGCCAAGTTTACTAAATTCACCAACAAAATACAAGTAGAATTATATATCCTAGAAATTAAGATTTCTTTAATTAAGAATTTCATTCTAAATAAATAAGGTGCAATTGTAACCCAAATACAAGGGACCAACTTATACTAAAGAGATCCTACACATCTTTTGTACACATCCGATGTGGGACAAAACATAATCAAAATTCAACACTCTATTTAAACATTGATATATATAAGAGTGTGATTAGATATAGATTTGATTGGTTTTATGATTATTTTGTTGTTAATTATAGTTAATTTTGAAAAAATATAGTAAGATTAGTTAATTTTATAAAAGTATGAGATAAATGATGTAGAGTGATGATTTCAAGATTGTGGAGTAAGTGAATAGCAATTGATGCGATTATATGATAATATTGATGATAACGAGATTGAGTTAAATTTAAATTTTGATTTTTTTTTTATTTCTTTATTTCTTTATTTTTTATTTTTTAATTTATATCCAATTCTAGTCACACAAAAGACGTGACATTTTCAAAAATTGGAATAATACTTTCAAAGTCGACAATTTCTGCAGCATTGCCTCTGAATTCAAAATTTTCAGCTCGATAAAAAGCAGCCAGAGTGTTTTTTTTATTATCATCTAAACTGTGCAGAATAAATTAATCAATCGAAACATTAAGGAAAGAGTATATAGCCCGCATTGTTGAAGGCGGTTTATTAAAATAAAAATCTATCACGTCTGAGAAAATAGACAAAATATTGCAAATGTTTAAAAAATGTGAGATTAATTGAAAACTATGTATATTCGATAAAAAAATATAATAATTAAAATAAGTTTGATGTATATATGATATAATATTAACATTCCTTCATTTTATGGCTTGGTGTGATGAATAAGCTCCAAACAAAAGATCGTTTGGAGTTCTTAATTGAAGACCCGACATGCCCCCTTTGTGGTACAACGAATGAATCCTCGAGCCACCTCTCCTTAATGTTACGGTTTTTCTGTAATCTGATAACTTGCAAAGTTTGTTGAATATTGCAGACAATAATGACCAAAGTATTTGAATGAGCCGTTTTGTTATGTTCAAAATAGCTAAGAAATGAATCACATTTTGAATAACACAAATCACTGTGTGAAGCGGCCGAACTGTTAGTTTGAAGATATGTATACATGTTGAAAAAGTATAATTGGCTACTCGTTAGGCTGTCTAACAGTTTAATTATCAATTATTGCAGATTATCATCATTAGATTAGAACACACACATACCCAGATGAGTGTAGGTTGATTCAACGGTGAGACTGACCGACCTTTAGTTCAACCTATTAGTAGGTGATTGGATATAAGTTATTTTGGTTTTGATTGAATTTATTTGATAATCGTAGTTAATTTTAAACAGGTTGATTGAGTTAAGTTTGAGTGAGATTTCGAGTTTGTATTAAAATATAATGATTATAATTTGATTTGATGTATAAGTATGAGAGAAGTGATTGAAACTAGGTAGTTAAAATAGTTAATCAAGTTGATATGATATATAAAGATGATTAACTAGTATTACTTAATTATATTAATAATATTGAAAATAGTAAATTTTGAATTAAAAGACATACATGGTCAAAACTCAAAAGTGACCAAATGATATGTATTCAATGCCTTAAAAGTATGTGAGTAAAGAAACATGATACAATGCTTATATAGGGAAGAGAAAAGCGTGACAATTTGAATTTGTATAGCCAATTTTAAGCCGTACAATATTTGTTTAGACACATAAACTTATCAATTTTTATATTGTATAAACTAGTGCCGTGTAATGTACAAGGAAAATACTACAAGTACATAATAAATGTACATAAAAATGTACATAATACTCACATGAAATGAAGTGGGGTCCACTTGATTTTTTATTTTTGGTGGGTTTCACTCAATGTGAGTGTTATGTACACTCCTATTATTATATTCGTGAATACTAAAAATTAAATAATTAGAATAAAAAATTAATATTATATATTATTTAAAGTTTTCTTGTAGACAATATTTTTGCCTTGTAGGCACACTATCATCCATGCAAACTAATATTTTCAATCTATTTCTATTAGTGACATGGTAGATACATACAACTGGTCGTGACTGATCAATACCGACTTCTTAAAAAACATGCTTACATGTAATAACGACTGACTCTAATTTTTGTTAATCAAATTGCAAATCTCGTGAACACCATGACCAACAACTAGCTTGTAACATTCTTCGGAGTATCTACTTGGTTATTAATTGAAATATTGACACATACTTAAAAAATATATGTGTTTGTTAATTATTAAAATATAGTATACATTAAAAAACTAAAATTTAACATCGTGTTAAACTATAAATGTATTTGTTAAACATTAAAATATGTATTTATTATAATTAACAAAACATAAATATATTATAAACTAATTTAACAAACATATTGTTAGATATAAAAAAATCGTACCAACACAAAAATAACACTCGAATTTGTATGAAAATGGAAGAACATTTTTTATAGATTAATGCTCTTTCTTTTTTTTTTTT